GAAAGCATGTAATAATTTGTAGTTATATTACTTTAATCAAATTACTAATCAAATCATGTTGTACCAATCTAGTTCAAATTACATTAATTACAACAATGGGTAAATTTTCTCATACATGTAATATCACATACGTGTAATGCATTGAAAGTATAAACAACAGTAAACGTAAACATTAACAACAGATGCTTGCATGTAAATCAAATTATTTTGTTAGATCTATACATTCAGTTTTATGAAATCATGGGTTATATTTTATGGAAATTTATAAAATATTTATAAAATTAAACCCTTATTTATCCCCGAAGACCTTTGTTCTCCGTTCAAATCCATGGAGACTTTACATACAGGCACACACTAGCCACATCAGGTGCCGGAAACACGTTTTGTAATTCGATACATCTCCACCTATACTTCATACTTGTTATAATACTAGCTGGTTCATTTTTCAGAGTCATTTATACACAGTTTTTAGGTAGATATATGATCTGTGCTATAGTGTAGTATTGACTGTATTGTGTATATCTAACTACAGACCTTTAGTATAATACTGTTATTGAATTTCCTTATTTAATATTTCTGAAGATGTGTAGTCATGAAATTGAATAAAAGCAGAGTTGGAGAAGTAACATTATTATTAACATGGGTGATGTAAATGTGCAAACGTAGCCAATGGTACCTGCCATATCCCCCTGAATTTACTACTGAACATTATGCATTATGCAATGGTCTTTGTTTTTTGCTTAAATGATTTACATGATTGTATGTTGGAATCATAAATGGAAGTGTACTGCACATACACTAGACTAATAAAAATCAAATCATTTAAGTATGGTATATCATAATATTTGATCATACAATGTAACACATTTATGACTCAAGAGGATTCTTCTTATTATAAGAGATAAAACATATTTTTGCTTAGATTCAACATTCAGAATTGAAACCACTTTATATTTAAGAAGACATGTTATTACTATACACAAAAAATACGCAAGTTATTACCAAGTAATCATAGTTGTCAAATGTCAGTTTGATGAGTCTGATGTTTCCATTTTTTTTTATTCAGAAATCAATGAAAATTATTTATACTAAATTGAAAGTACTAAATACTATGGAATATGACGTAATTGCAATTACAGTAGTTGATAGATGTTATCACTATGAGGAGATGATGTTAAAAAAATTGCTTTAAGCTATTCCTAACTGAGCAAAGGAAGTCAATGATATTCATTCAATATGTCAGTTGGGAATTAGACTAAGTCTATCATTTATTTACATTCAATAAATGAAATTTCTTTTCAGTACTTAGAATTTGCATGGTGGGCAGAGGGTCACTAAAATATATTCATAATTACACTAGATGCCTGGTTTGCATTGCGCCTATGTATTGAAACTAGCAACTTAACCCTTATTGTAGCTGTAGCTTCAGTTTGTTTCTTTGCTCTATCCCATGGTTTAGTTGTAGCTATCAACCTCCCATCTGAAATGGAACAGTCTAGTCTGTTTCAGTTTGGTTCTTCACTTCATTCCATATTGTGGCAGTAGCTGTCAACCCTGCTACTAAAATGGAACAGTCTAGTCTGGTTCAGTTTAGTTGTTCACTTCATCCCATATTGTAGCTGTAGCTCCTGCAACTGAAATGGAATAGCATAGCCTAGCCTAGCCTAGCCTGTCTCAGTTTGGTTCTTATCTGTACACTGTACTGTAGCTGAGCACAGGGGCTTATAAATGCTCCTGATGCCTGATACACTGCATGTCCTCAAAGTTGTTTGCCTTTGATATTCATAGCAAGATACCTGTGCTAAATGATATGTGTGTTTGATATACAGCCAAAATAACTATACCAAGCAACAAACTTCAACCTTTGCAAAAGGTGTCGGGCATCAAGTATGTGCAGACACATTTGTGGTCATACATCTTATCCCCTGGCTAGACAAAGCAGGTAACTACTTTTCTTTTCTGTTCTGTGTTCACTCTACCTATGTTTTATATCTATAATTTTGCTACAAAATATAAATTTGGCAGCCTCATTTTTGGATTTGCATATTATGACTTATTATAAGATCCTGTGTTGTTTTGTAAAATTTGTAATTGTTTATTATATTCTTTAC